CATTAAAGAAAAGAAGAAAAAAAGAAAGACATATGGTCAAACTTACAAAAAGAATAACTTTATTAAATCGTGTTTTAAGTCTGCAACAGAAAAGATTTTAAGTGCACCAATGCCTGAAATTAAAAATAAATAAATCATTGTTTGACCAACTAATTGCACCATTGCAAAATTAAATCAAATCAATAAATAATATTTAATAATTAAAATAACTAATAAACTAAAAAAACAACTAAAATAATAACTAATTTATATTCAGTTAAGCAACATTAACTCAGGAGCACAGTATATAAAACATTTAGCTTTCGGGTGACTTTCTTTTGTCTCGTTATCTTTGTCTCTTCCCTGTTAAAAACTTTTTCATGTTGGGGGTTGTTATGTTGAATAACGGAAGCTATAGACAGAAGTCTAACCTGTTGTCTTTAAGTCGTAAAATGTTGCACCGAAGTAACGATGAGAGCGCCACTGCCCCTACTGGAGTGGATGCGCAATTACACTTTAAACTACTACGGCCCAAAAAAAAGGCTGTTCCCCAGGTATCACCCCTCTATTTGAGAAGCACTTCTCTAACGACAACAGACCCTCGTATAATCGGCCCCTGAAGCAAAGCTGGACTCTTTATTTATTTATTTATTTATTCATTTATCTTTGTTCCATCTCATGTCTCCGAGGGCTTAAAATGAAACAACAGTCCATGGGCTGCCCCTCAAACTCTGCCCCCCCTTTTCCATAACCGGATAGTCTGGATATTCGAATAAAAGCGTGAGCCTGACTGGTTAAGAGCAGCTAAGAGGAGCCACTAAAAGCTGAGAAAAGCTGGAGAGCCACTGCGAGAGTCGGTGGGAAAGTTAGTTTTTTTTGTTTTTTTTGTTGTTTTTCTTTTAATCGGCAAAGGAGCGTCGTACAGAAAAAAGATAACATCCTAGTTTGGTTATGTCTATATTAGGGGGTCGTAGGCTTGTTTTTGGGGGTTCTGGGAGCTACTGAGGATGAAGCTGAAGCAGCTTTCCCGCCGAAGAGTTCAGGTTTCTGGCCTGTTTCACCAAGTGTTTGTCACTGGTTCAGAATCAGCGAGTCGACAAACGATGGGAAAAAAAATAACAAATAAAATAATAAACGAAAAAACGAACGTGGGTGAGAGGAAGGGGAAAAAAACATGACATGACAGTGAGACGTCTGAGCAGGTCAAAGCAGCCGTTAAAGCAAATTTAACCCTTTTTTTTTTTACCCCCCCGAAATAAAATAAAATAAAAAAACCAGCGCATAGGAAATTAAATCACCTGGTCTCCAGTTGTTTTATGGTCCCTGACATCTGGTTGATTTTCTCCTCCAACCGGACGATGGCGTCGCTTTTCTGTTTGGAGCTGGCGTCCGCGCTCTGGGGAAAAGGGAGAGACGGTCTCCGTTAGCAACCGTTACCCGGGCAACGCCTATCCCAGGGAGAGGCGGGGTCCCCCAGTCCATCACAGGGACACACAGAGACACACAAGGACCAACAACCACACA